TCCAGTGGAGCGTTATAATAAAACGGTTGAAACTTGCATTTCTTGCTTCGTTCGTGATGATCATAGAACTTGGTCGAAATTTCTTCCACATGTTCAATTAGCTTTGAATAGTAGTGTTAATTTGGCTACGGAGTTCACTGCGAATTTCCTAATGTTTGGTAGGGAGTTAATTTATTGATGCGTCATTGCACCGTTTTAGTAATTCCTTTGATAATTTATCACAGATCGATCTTGTTGACCGTTCTGCTTTTGCTCATTCACTTTCCTCACTTGAAAGTATTTTTGTTAAAGTTACTGGAACTTTATTTAAAGCATATAAACGTAATGCTTCTTATTATAACAAGCGTCGTGAAGTCACTTCTTATGATGTAGGTGATATTGTTTGGAGGAGGAATTTTGTTCAATCTAGTGCTGCTCATTATTTTTCGGCAAAACTAGCTCCGAAGTTTATTCAGGGGCGGTTTATGCACTAGGCCCGCTAGGCCCGAGCCTAGGGCGCCGTGGCAGAAGGGGGCGCCACGGGCCGATAAATTTGAAAGATTAAAAGCGAGAAAGCGAACGTTTTAATCGGGTCCACTCAAACGTCAATATCGCCAATATAAAATATATATGTGCTCCATTCCTACCCACAAACCTACATAATATATGTATGATTGAAATTTTGTTTCCGTTAAATTATTTTTGAAATACACTCCCGCTCAAAAGTATGGGTTCACTTCTCGAAATTTTCAGCTTCGGTATAAGTTCCATATCTTGGTGGAAAAAGGTCGTAAGAGAATTTAATGAGCACCGTTTTGAAGGGGACAGTTTTAGCCTCACTTTGCCATTTTTTATAATTTTTTACAATTTTTTTTATAGTCCCCACGCGCTTTTGAACATGGCAGTTTTTCGATGTTTTTTTGCCCTCTGGAAACGGGCTGTCTGGCTGTTAAAAAATTTTCCTTGCAATTTCATTCATCGCAGTTTCAAAGAGGATATTAAACACTGCATTTTTGTTTTTGAAAAAGTATCGTGCGATTTTTTTTACCAAAAATATTCTAATTTTCGACAAAAATTGATAATTTTATTCAATTCGGCGTATCTTGAAAACGGCGGGTGATCGAAGAAAATAGCAAGGGGGTGAAAAGTTGCAATAGATCATGATGGACCTTGTAGATTTATTTCAGAATTTTTTTCCGACATTTGTTTTTTCATACTCTTGCAGTCGAAATGATTTAAATTTTCTCATGATTTTTTCTTTTTTTTAGACGGCGCAGGCATTTCTTTTATTGGTTTTATAACCATCTTGACGTAATTTTTACTAAAAATCAAATTTCGCACAATTTTTTGTACGTTTTTTTCATTTAAAAAAAATAATTTTTAGTTCAAATTACGTCAAGATGAAGATGAAACCAATAAAAGCAATGCCTCAGCCGTTTAGAAAAAAGAAAGAATCATGGGAAAATGAAAATCATTTCGACTCCACGAGTATGGAAAAACAAATGTCGGAAAAAAATTCTGAAATAAATCTACCATGTCCATCATGATCTATTGCAACTTTTCACCCTCTTGCTATTTTCTTCGATCACCCGCCGTTTTCAAGATACGCCGAATTGAATAAAATTATCAATTTTTGTCAAAAATTAGAATATTTTTGGTAAAAAAAATCGCACGATACTTTTTCAAAAACGAAAATGCAGTGTTTAATATCCTCTTCCAAACTGCGATGGATAAAATTGCAAGGAAAATTTTTTAACAGCCAGACAGCCCGTTCCCAGAGGACAAAAAAACATCGAAAAACTGCCATGTTCAAAAGCGCGTGGGGACTATAAAAAAAATTGTAAAAAATTATAAAAAATGGCAAAGTGAAGCTAAAACTGTCCCCTTCAAAACAGTGCTCATTAAATTCTCTTACGACCTTTTTCCACCAAGATATGGAACTTATACCGAAGCTGAAAATTTCGAGACGTGAACCCATACTTTTGAGCGGGAGTGTATAAAAATCATTTATTCTAGCCTGTGCTTTTTCAACTATTTTATGGAGAGGGGAGAGGGGGCGCTAATTTCGTCAGGCCTAGGGCGCCCGTTTTCGTAAACCGCCCCTGAGTTTATTAAATGTAAGATTATTGATAAAATCTCGAATAATGTTTATGTTTTGAAGGATTTGGTTAAAGGTACTTCTGGTCGTTACCATGTTAAAGACATTTTGAAAATTTAGATTGCTTAGCTATTGTTTAGTTAGTTTTGTTAAACATAAACAAACCTTTGGGTTTTAGGCTTTTGTAACTCGAGTGATCTGGAGGCTTTGAAAGGTTTGATTTTTTGCGTGAAGTATGTAAGGTTGGCCTCATGTGAGACGATGAAAGATAGTGAAGTTACTCAATTACATTTGACTTTACTCATTGACTTTTTGGTTTTTATTAAATTCAAGTTTTGCCATTATATTATTTGACTTTGAAAATTTTTTGTAAAATTTAAATTTACGTAGTATGCCTACTTATTTTCTGCATCATAAGATTTTATAACCTTTTGTTTCGTGCAGATGTTTTATCTGTATGGACACATTTTTTATTAGGATTTTATATGTCCTCATTTGTTATTTTTGTACAAACTTATTTGTTAGTACTATAGTTGTGTTTCTGCATGTTTGTTGTTTTTTAACAATTTGTTTTGTGTAGAAGTTTGTGTGTGTGATAATTGTTACACCCGGATTTGACATTTTGGAGCTCCTATTTTTCCTTGGATTTGACATCCATGATTTAGACTTTTTTCGTTCAATATTTTTGACGATTTGTTTGGTTTACCACTTTGTTTTGGTAATTTGTTTGCCCATATTTGTGGACATCATTTGTTTTGTTTTTGCACATCATGTTCGGAAGTTCGGTGGTGTTGTGCCGATCATGAAGTTGCAATTTCGACTTTTGTTCAACATTGTTGACGCTTTTTGGTTTTGCCATATTGTTTTGGTATTTTGTATGCCCATATTTATGGACATCAATTGTTTGTTTTTGTGCTTCATGCTCGGGAGTTCGGTGGAGTTGTGCCGATCATGTAGTTACAACTTTTGTTTTGGGTGCTTCATGTCCGGAAAGTCGTTGGTGTTGAGTCGGCCATGAATGTCACGTTTTGGTTTTCGCCAAATTTTTTGCTGTTTTGACTTTCGTCACTACATTTTTTTTGTCGAACTGTTTGTTCTCGACGCCTTTTGCACATCATGTTCGGAAAGCCGGTGGTGTTGTGCCGACCATGATTGTGACTTAAATGAGTTTGTGTCAATTTTGCCACTCATCTCGAACTTTTATTGGGGATTTAACTAATAGTACTTGCGACTTTCTAGTATAGCAGTACTGGGGTGGGATTTTTCTAGAGTCTGCGACATAGTTGTCTAACAGATCTCCCAAGAGTTAGTAGTAGGAGTAGATTGTAGTTTTCTGTCTGTGACCTAGTTGTCCAACAGACCTTCAGAGATTAATGTTAAGAGTAGTAGAGTAGTAGTTTAAGAAATTTTAGGAGTCTGCGATTTTAATATCCAACAGATCTCACAGGGGTTTAGGTTTTGAAGGAGTTTTAGTTTAGGAAATTTTAGAGTCTGCGACTTAGATGTCCAACAGATCTCACCAGGGTTTAGTTAGAGTAGTTTGAATTTAGAGATTTTTTAGAGTCTGCGACTTTTTATGTCTGACAGATCTCAATAATGATGATGATAGTGGTTGAATTTTTTGTAGTAAGCTTTGCATACTTTTATTTTAGAGCAGTTTGCTTTAGGTTTTTAATAATTTTGGGTCTGCGACTAATTTAGTTCAACAGCTTTTGTTTTGAGACTTGTGACTTTTTGTCCAAGGACTCTATAGTTTGATGATGTTTTGGTATTTGGATAACTTTATTTGAAGTTATTTTCTTTTCACTTTGGGTTTTCGTTTTCATCCATAATTCAACGGATTTCGTTTTGGCTTTTAGTATTTGGACTTTAGCTGTAGTTTTTCAGCCTCAATTCTCGATGCTTTATTCGGGGAAGGGTGAAATGTAACGTGTTAAAAACGTCACATGGACCTCCTTCGCTCGAAGAGCGAGATAGAAGATTTTTATGGGTTGTCTCTCTGGTCGTTTTTATCTCGCGCCCATTTTCTTTAATCTGTGCACTTTTGGGTAAGTGTGTTTCTGCCTTTATCGAGCAGTAGGCTGAATGGACGTTGTTCACTTTGCCTACCGCCAAGACAAACTAAGAAAAGAAACTGTCACTTCACTTCACGACCAAAATTTTTACAAGAAACATGTGAAAATCATAATCGTAATTTTGATCATGATAATCCATTGGATTTTCGATTGTTTTTGATGGTAAGTGTTTTTCCAAATTCGAAAAGTGTTTTAATTCACATATTTCAATGATTTACTTTAGAATTCAGTTCTTTTACAGATGTAACATTTTGCACCTTTTGTTCGGAACGGCGGGTATCGCATTCCAAGCTTAATTTGTTTAAAAAACGGTAAGAATCTTAGAGTTTTCCTTAGTTTTACTTTTTTTCCTTTGTTGTGAGCCATGTGCTAATCTGAGGAATATTTATTTTCAGCGAAAAGCGTTTTTTTTTTATTTGGATTTTATAATCAACTTTCAACATTTCCCATGATGAGAAAGTGAACAGTCCCGTGATGTAACAGCGACATCCCTTAAGTATTACGACACCAGACACAGCCACTACACAGATGCAACAAGTTCGGTAACTTTCCAAATTTATTGTTGTACCGGAACCCATAAGGTAAAATTTTCATTTACATTTTAGCAGCCATAGTTTTGGACTTAAGTAGTTTTGTAGTAAATTTAAATAAATCGACAACCCAAAATGAATATTGTTTTGCAATCAAGCCTTCTCTTGTGATTAATAGTCCATTGCTTTCCCGGCTAATATGGTTTAATAATATGGTATGGGTCTGGCGCCCGAGTATTCTTCTTTTTTTCATTAATTTCGACCTATCCATTTAAAGTAATTTTCAAAACAAACTTTTTATTTTTTAATATTACACACTGCTCTTAGGGATGGATAGTGATAAGCCATGGTCGGATAGCCAATTATTCAGGTAGTAAATAGCTGAATTCAGTCGACTAGAGGCATCCAATATATTATCGACATCTATGTATAGGGCAAGGTCATCTGCATATTGTAGTACATTACAAAAGGAGGTCACCGTAAGGTCTAAGTCATGGGTGTAGATGCTATAGAGCAAGGGGCTAAGAACTGAGCCCTGTGGGAGACCTTTCCAAATCTTTCTGGGTGGGAGGTTTAAATTTTGAAAACTAACAGAGACTGAACGATCATTAAGAGTATTACAGATAAAATTAACAAACTTCTCAGGAATGTTCAGCTTAAGCATCTTCTGCCTAAGCACTGGGAGAAGGACGTTATCGTAGGCAGATGCAATATCAAGGAATACACCCACCACTGACCTTCGTTTAGACAAAGCAACACGGATATCTGTCACAAAGGAACCCAGACTATCCATGGTGCTCAGCCCTTTCCGAAAGCCGAACTGGGTTTCTGATAATTTATTATTGTTTTCCAAAAACCATTCCAGACGATTTTTAATGAGGCGCTCTACAACTTTAAACAAAGTATTAGAAAGTGCTATGGGTCGGTAGCTGGATGGATCATTACCTTGTTTGCCACTTTTAAGAATAGGGATGATAATTTGAGTCTTCCATTCCTCAGGGGGGGTGCCAGATTCAAATATTGCATTAACCATTTTTAAAAAGTGAAGTTTTGTCTCATTGCCGCTCTTAGTAATGAATGAGTAAGGTATTCCGTCAGCTCCAGGGGCGGAATCTTCAAGGCCTGAAAGGGCCAAGGAGATCTCCTCCCAGGAGAATGGAGCTTCCAATGGGTTAGATGAAAAAGAAGGAGAGCCAGGAAGATTCCTAACCTCCTCCAAGGTAGGCGCAGAAAGGGGGGCAATTTTACGGCTAAAGGGTACAAGCCATGCATCAGGGTCAGAAGAAGAAAAATTTTCATAGGTATCAGAGTATGATCCACGAAATTTTCTAATATTTTTCCAAATAAGAGAAGGCGATGATCTCGGGGACAAAGAAGTACAGAATTTAGTCCATCCCTCCTTTTTCTTAAGTCTCAGCAGAGATACAGTCTCTGCCGCAACTTTTTTGTAGTGGAGGTAATTTTCCACAGTCATAGCAGATGAATAAGCCTTCTCAGCTATCTTCCGATTTCTTATTGCAGCAGTGCAGTCTTTATCCCACCAAGGCGGAGAGCTGATATTCTTACAAGTTGGCGATTTCCTGATTGGGATACACTCATCAGCCACTGAGAGCATAGTATTCTTGAAAATTCACTTAGTGGTTGTCATTATTATCTGGAGCCTGAAGGGATGGGAGGAGTTTCATTTTGTCATCTAACCTGCTACTATACTTATTCCAGTCTGCTCGGGCCAAAATATGTTTTTGCCTGGGAGTGATATGGGGGGCTTCTTTACTTGGTGCAGGCAAGAAAACTAAAATGGGGTAGTGATCACTCCCATATGTGTTTGTAAGAATTTGCCAGTTGAGATTAGAAGCTAAGCTAGCCGAGCAAATAGATAGGTCAACTGCACTCTTTGGGTTCTGATTTGGAGCAACACGACGTGTTGGAGAGCCGTCATTTAAAATGCAGAGATTTAGGTCATCTAGTAAATCTAAGAATGTGGAAGAGAGGGAATCAGAAATGTGACAACCCCAAACTTCATTATGTATATTAAAGTCTCCCAGAATGATATATGGTTTCTCAATTGATTTGATAATAGAAAACACTTGTAGTAATATAGATAAATCAGGATTAGGGATATAAATGGATATAAAAGATATGTTCATTGCTCGAATTGCAATTATATTAAACTTTTCAGTATTATGGGAGGATAGATCAATAGGATGGAAAGAATAATTTCTTAATACAAATAAAGCAGAGCCACCTTTGCCATCATTTCTATCATCCCGGAGACATGCATAGCCCGGGATCCAGAATCTGGTTCCCGGCCTAAGCCAGGTCTCCTGAATGGCAAGAATAACTGGCTTATGATAGTTAATAATATAAATTATATCAGATTTTTTATATTTAATACTCCGGCAGTTCCATTGGAGTATTGGAGTGAATTTTATTACCTAAAAAGGAAAGCTCAGTCAGTTTTTGCTTGAGGTTGTTTGGTAATTCAATATCTTCAAATCGTTTAATAAAGTTAATAAGTGTAGAAAGCTGAAGAAATAACATATCAATTAAATTGTCGTTCGGTTCAGTAACTAAAGAGGTATTAGTAAGGGCACAACCATTTGGCTGTGTCGAGGTTGGAGTATGGGTGAGTGAATTCTGTGTTTGCCTGTCATAGCCATGACTAGAGGCTGGAGAAGGGGAATGACGGGGTACTGAAATAGTCTTTTTATATGAATATGCTATGGGAACAGTTGGTAACCTAGGGACAGAGCTGCTCAGGTGGATTTGAGAATTTGAAGGTAAACGACTTGAGTCAGCATATGACTTTCTAACAGGGGCAAATCTTGCTGAGGCTTCCATATAGGAAACATTCTCCTGGGACATAACCAACTTAATAGACCTTTGTCTAGCATGTTCAGGACAAGAGGAATGAGTAGCTAAATGGCTCCCTAAGCATAGTATGCACTTGGGGGGAGCCTGACTTAAGCAGGATTCACCCTCATGCATTTCTCCACAGACGAAGCAGCGGGGTTTGGAACGGCACAGAGACTTTATATGTCCGAATCTACAGCAATTATTACACTGGATTACCGGTAGCCTGTAAATTTCCACTGGTAATGAAGTGTAATAGCAATACACATGATCTGGCAACTTTTTGCCAATAAAAGTAACAACCACAGTCTGAGTAGGGATCCAGGTGGGAGCAGAGTTTGCAACAGTTACCTTTCGGTTTAATCTCCTCGCTCTAAAAACTTTCCCATGGCCATCAGGAACTCGTACATTTTGAACTAGTTCTTCCATAGACCACTCTACTGGAACATTCCTGATAATGCCCATTCTAGAAACATTAAAAGATGGGATGGACGCTAGGTAATTATTGTTAAGCAAAGCAGGATGGTCTATAAAAGAATTAGCATCCGATGCAGATTTAAATTGTACCGAGATGCGGTTTCTACCAACTTTTTTAACTCCATCTGCAACTACATTTTTTATGTTATGTGTAAAAAGAAATTTACCAAAATGCATTGGGCGAAGGACAGTGCCTTGTGATGGTTCAGACTCTTTTTTAGATATATGTACAATAAAAGGTCCAATGTCATCAACATTATATTGAATTTTGTTTTCCGCATACTCTGGCAATATAAATGTTGTTTGAACAGACGCCGTAATTTGAGCCGAGGATGTTTTTTTTGCTGGTATATTATGGTTTGTGCTAGAAATGCTTTGCGATCGTTTTCTATTGATTGATGATGAATTATCATGACTTTGAATAGAAGGAAAGATATCTTGGGATTGCAAAGGAGGGTCAACGCCGCCTCCAGGATCTGGCGGGTCAGCGTCCATATTTGGCGCCAATTATAATTATGTAAAAAATATATATATTACTTACCAAATACCGAAATAAATATGTTATTACATACACACACAAATAAATAAATACAAAAATACAAAAAGTAGCTCAACACAGAACGAAAAACTAAATTAATCTATCTAAATTGAACAAATTTGCACTTGTATCACGCACTCAACCTAAAAGCAGAGATCGATTATTTTTATTCCATTGTTTACTTTCTATCCTTGTATCGCTGTCAATGTCATTGTCAAAATATAAGTTGTCAGTAATCTGTTTCACGCATCTCACGTTTCTATTTTATTTAAGTTTGTATTTGTACTATGTGTTCGGCTTTATGGACTTGTATACCGGCTATGTCATTTGCTAATAAAAAAAAAAAAAAAAAAAAAAAGTCGTGTTGTTGCGTTGTCGTGGAAAGGGAAAGCAAGTAAGGAATCATACGCGCCATCTCTTTCTTTTCTTTCTCTTTTCTTTGAAAGACCGTCGAAAGTGCGGTTTCTCGGATATTCAACAAGTTGTAATTTTTATTACTTGAAATTTGAATAACGATAATTTATTTTTCAGAAAAATAACACTGACTGAGTTTAAACGGTAAGTACCCTAAAGTTCAACAAGGACAAGGACAATTAAATAACTACAAGAGCACTTACGTACATAACCTCAATAAAAAGTTGATATATTCAAAGTTTATTCTCATTATTTTCAGTCATTTTAACTATTCCTCTTTAAATTTACGGAAAATTACATTGGGTACACATGAAACATAGCAAGGAAATAGATTTACCAAGATTCAAATTTTTGTTCTTACCTGCTGAGTTAATTATGTTAAAACGTCAATAAATAAATAAAGTTTCGTGCATTAACCCGTAAAAACTAGTTTTATTTAATGAGTGATGTGCGTGAAAACCTAAGAAACAAATATGTTAAAACTTATTTCTTATTTTCAGAAAATGGCAGCACTAGCTCACGAGAAAGTTTGGCTCGACAGAACAATCTACAATGATGCAGAAAAAAATTATTACGAATCTAAATCCAAGGTAATCATGACCCACTATTGAAACACTTATTTTGTGATACAATTTTTTTGGAAATTAATGTACTTATCTTTTTGTAGTATGTAGTATTACACAGGTTTTCAAATATTACTTGTTAGGTGTTATAAGATTAGTGTGTACAATTTCAAACTTTTAAGTATACCATGTTGTAGGTACAAGTTCCTCTAGCACAATCCCAATCTTCTTTGGCCAATGAAGTGGCCAAGGCAAGACAGCACATCAAAAATTCACTTGAATGTGTGAGTAAATATTACTTTAATTTAAGTAACACACAGCTTCAATGTGCTTCTATGTTTAAATAATACTTTCATTCTTTTGTGTAGAGTATATTAAAAAGAACTTTGTAAAAACTTATGAAAAGTTTCTACATCATTAAATTACTCCTTTATTTGAATATATTAACAGTAGTTGAATTATAAATCAAAATCTATACAGTACATCATCAGATCCTGTGTGATTTATACATATAGATTTTTACCATCTTTACAGTCTGTAATAAATTAGTTTGATAACTTCCAATTAAAATTAATTTGTATAATTCTGTTTCTAGATGGATAGTGTTGCTACTTTAGCTGGAGTGCCAAATACAGAGCTTGTCAACAAACTCCATCACCTGGAACAGGAAAATACTGACATGAAGAAGGTTATTGATGATCTACGCAACCTTGTGATCAGTCTTCAAGCACGAGTAGAATCTTTAGAATCAAACAACAAATCTAATACTGCGGCTCCAAAAGTATGTTGACAACATTTTTGTGTTTTGTAAATATATTAATTTAGCTTTCGGCTGTTGATATTACCTACAAGAACTCCTATTTTCATCCCTAAATTTTAAACCTTCATAGGTGGATGTACTAAAAAAATACTACAGCTTTGTTGGTCTAAGTAATTTTAGAAACATGATGAATACCAAATGCCATGTTTATAACTTCAAAAAGCTTTTACCATCGAGGATGCAATTCCATGACTGTTGCAATAGTTCATATTTATTGTAATGAAGAGCATACCTACAAACTAAGTAAAGAAATGACAAAGTTCTTTACTTTAACCTTGATTCTGTCTCAATTTTTACCTTTTCTGTGTTAACTATAATACTTTTCATAAAACTCCTACCTCTGTATAATATTTCAACTTCAATAATCTTTCAGATAATTGAATCAGGAGACCTTTTATTTTACATAATTTTAAGAGTTTTTTATATCATGATGTAACAAATTTTTTAGACTACAGCACCTGCACCAACAAAAACTGAAGACTCCGATGATGGAGTAGACTTGTTTGGATCAGATGATGAAGAAGAAAATGAAGCAGCATTGAAATTGAGAGAAGAACGACTAGCTGCATATAATGCAAAAAAATCTAAAAGTAAGAGTAATTCATGTACCTATTTTCTTAATATGTTAGGCCTGCCATGCCAGATGAAAATGTTTCTGCTGTTTAAATGTAGGTGTTAACTTCAGTATCTATTTACAGAACCAGTTCTTATTGCCAAATCAAATATAATCCTGGATGTTAAACCTTGGGATGATGAAACTGATATGGTTGCAATGGAAAAAGAAGTGAGACAAATAAGTACAGATGGTCTTCTTTGGGGTGCTGCCAAATTAGTCCCACTGGCTTATGGAATTCATAAGCTTCAGATTTCGTGTGTTGTAGAAGATGAAAAAGTATCTGTAGACTGGCTGACGGAAGAACTTGAAAAATTAGAAGACTTTGTAAGTTTTAAATGTTTAATCTTGTATTAAAAATAATCCATTGAAGTGATATGTTCCTCAAATTTATTTGATAATGTAAATTACCTTCTTATAACAAAATATTCCATTCATTATCTATCATTATTTTTGCTATTGTTTCTGATTAACACTTTTCTGGGTCATAAAGATCAGAACTTATCATATTTTTCTTCTGCTTGTTTACAGGTACAGAGTGTTGATATTGCTGCTTTTAATAAAGTTTAACAAAAAGCAATAAAATTCATTGATACTAGAATAGTTTTATTTTATTTAAATTATAGTAATTTTTAAAAACTTGAGGAACCCAGCAAAAATATATATAAACTTTTCCTAAATGGCTCACTTGTGAGTTTAGAATCTATATGGACTCTGCCGGAAATCTAGCGTACAGCGGGATAGCAGCGGCGCCAGAATTAGTAAATCAATTCAAAATAAAGGTCGGTAACGAATGCCTTAATACGACTTTTGACGCTCCGGGCCATTGCCCTCTTTGTCCAAGGGTAAATACGTACCCTGCGCGACACTATAGCCACGTAGTCTTGGGTCAGCGAGATATTTTTAGTAGATCTGAAACTACATCCACCTTCACCGAGCTGATAATGGAATGAAACATATTTTCTCATGAATTTAGTATAATAAAAAATATATTAAAAATGGGTTGCCTAAAAAAATCCTGGACAGACTATATTTTTAAAAAATATATTTTTTATTTTTTTAAATAAATTTTGCACCATCAAGATAAAAAGAATGTTGTCCTGATTTATTTATTTAAAGTATAAAATATATGGAATAAAGATCATCTCTGACAGTGCATACGTGCTTCAAGCCCCACATAGTAATGGAGTGCCACAATGCACTTCAATCCATTGCAGCAGACGAACTGGCTAAGAGGAGCAGACACAAAAGTATATATGGTCCGGAACCTTTTCTGCCCATACCTCAGGCCCAAATTAAAACGTGGCTGCGTGATAGAACTCAGAAATTACACTTGACAGGGTGGAAAACAGGTGAAGGATGCCGGCAAACGAAAAACGCAGTTCCAGAGGCAAATAAGAGACTTGCCCGCACCCTTACCAGACTTTATAGGGACAAACTCCGCATAATAGGAACGCTAACTGGTCATTGTCCCCTAAACAAACACCTATATACAATAGGAGTATCAGACAGCCCCCTATGAAGAGGATGTATGGAGGCAGAAAAAACGCCACAGCATGACATCATGGAATGCAGGAGTGTGGCCGACCAACGGGCACGACTTCTCCAGTCTTTCAGTTCTTCATCGCTTCCGGAAGCTAACAGCAGTCTGCCAAGGCTGCTTTCCTTCTGGAGTAACATAGGCTGGCTGGAGTAAACGGGAATGTTTCGAGACACGCAAAATGATCCAATGATTAGGTCTAAGTGCGGAAACCGCCCTGAAAAACTTAACTTAAACGTATAGAATGTGTAGCCATTGGGTAATGTAACTGGCATCGACATAGCTGTTTATTTATTTATTTCACATTGCTCATGTACATTATTTATTATAAGGTCTTACATAGTTAATAGTGAGTGGTACATGGCCCCATTGGGGTGTTGCAACAAACTTGAGCTTAACATTGTATACTTTAATTTCACAAAAATGTTGTAGGTTAATTCATATTAAATCAAACCAGGTCCAATCTAATTTAAAAATTAATCAATTCAATTTATATCATATTATCATAGTCATATCATATCATAAGAAGTTAAATTAAATCAAATCAAATTAACAGGTCAAACATATAACGTTTATACCTGGCAACCAGCGTTGCCAGACGTCCCGATTTTTAAATCAGAGTGTAAATGTCCCATGCGGGACAGGCTCGATCCCGCTTTACGGGAATAAAACTTCTGATTTTGATTTCTGTTTTTTTTTTGTATTCAGTAGACGAATAAGACTCAACTCTATAACGATAGGGTAAATAATAATAATAATAAAAACTCTTTATTTTACACCACAAAATAAAAAAATATATATAAAACATACATAATGGCTGCTTACAGTGTAAAAATGGGCCGTCTTATCGCTAAGAGCGATCTCTTCCAGACAACCTTGGGATGGAGAGGACAAGAAAGAAGCTGGAAAGACGGCGGTGTAATTAACTTCAATAATACGCGAGAAAATCTATGTACAAACCGAGTATATAAAACAAATAAACACATAAATACATAGATATACATACATACACTCATACATACATAGGTAAATAATATATATATATACATACTAAAAAATACATATGTACCATTTATAAGTCTAATTCGGTGAGAGGAAATAAATACAATAGAGGAGCTATAAGGACAGATAGTGAGATCTTAGAAGGTTTTTGAATCTGTGCAGAGATTCTACACGTCTAATGGAAACTGGAAGCGAATTCCATAGGCGAACAGCTTGCACTGCGCACAGGTGTAATAAGAGCAAAATTTTCTGATGACCTTAGGGACAATGTGTTAGAGGTGTGAAGGAAGTTAAAACATTCCTTAAGATAGCGCGGGGTCAAAGGATTAAACAGTACGTTAAACAGAAGAATAAGGATATGAGTATTCCGGCGAAAGCGAATAGGCAGCCGCTTGAGCTGTGAACGAAATTGAGAAACATGATCATATTTTTGCAGGCCAAATATGAATCGTATACAGAAATTCTAAAGTAGCTCAAGTTTATCAAGCTGGGCCTCCATGAGATCTAGATAGCAGACGTCAGCATAATCAAGAATAGGAAGCAAGAGTGTCAAGTTAAAGGAAGAATGGAAATGGGACGAAAATCAGCGACAGATTGAGGATTTGATTTTTTTTGGCAATGGGATAATTTGAGCTTGCTTCCAAGCCGATGGAAAAACAGCGTTAATAATAGAATTGTTAAAAAGGAAAGTAAGCACAGGAAGAATAATATCTAAGATTGGTATTAACATGTTGCGACTTATACTGTCACTCCCCACCGCATTGGATGAGATAGAAAGCACACTCTTCTTAACGTCACATTCAGAGAATTGAGTAAAAGTAAAAGGAGAGTAGTCTGGAACTGGTAAAGAAGAAAGATAATTTAAAGTGTTAGTCTTGTCTGAGTCACTTAGACTAGAAGAAGATGAAAAGTGAAGGTTTAAGGAGTTGACGTTAATGCTACTGGGAACAGATTCTTGTCGGGGCTTACCAATTCCAAGTGACTTAAGAAAATTCCAGACTTTAGCAGGATCTTTATTATCTACTGAGACGTGAATATGGCGACGTAAAGCATCCCTACACACCAAGTTGCAGTAGTTACGGGCTCTAACGTAGTTAGCTTTGTTGGAGTCAGTCGGTCGGCGTTTATACTTGCTTTTGGCAACATCCTTCTTGTGCATTAATGCTCTGATGTCGTTCGTGAGCCAAGGCGCTGGTAGATGTTTTAGCTTAATGGGACGAAAAGGGGCATGTTTATCGTACAGTTCAGTGATAATTTGATTAAAGTTCTCGACCTGTTCGTCCACAGACACCGCATCAGTTACCAATGTCCAATCGGTACTAAGGGCATCGCTTAAGAGTGCTTCCTTATCTATACCACCAAAATTCCGCTGAAGAATAACTTTGGCCTTAATTTTTGGAGGCCGAATTTTGTAGGACAAGAAAATTAAGTCATGGTATGAGAAGGCGTCTGCCGAACATTGACCATGCTTCATAATACGATGAGGAGAAGACACAATTATTAGGTCAAGAAGTGAGGGAGTAGTGTTTGGAAAGTGATGAGTAGCGCTAAGGGGGAGAATATGTAGGTTACAAGAATTAATAATGGATTGAAGAGAAAATGTACGAGAGTCATTTTTTAAAAGACAAGTATTGAAATCGCCCATGATCAAAGTGTGGCTGTAAGAGGGAACCAAATCACCCAGGAGTTGTTGAAAAGAACTGAAATAGTTGACATTTAAAGAAGGGCTGTAATAGACTCCGAGAAGAATTTTGGTGTGCGAGAGAGTCGTCTCGACAAATAAATATTCACCGGCATCATTTGGAGGAGGCTGTGTGGAGGAGCTAATTATAGTGTAAAGAATTTGGGAACGTAAATAAATAGCAACTCCACCACCTCGGTGTAATGTATGTCTTATAGATGTTATAAATTACTTTCAACCTTAATACTAAGTAATAAGAATTGGTTTTGTCAACAAAGCTAATATTTTATATTGAAGGTATCCACAACTGTTTTTGTTATAATTTTATAAGGTGTCATCCTTCCTTCTTACATTGGCGAAATAGTGGACTTGAGGATTATGAAAGTTTAAGTACATTCCAAAAAATGGAAATTGATAAATATCATTAAAAAATTTGATAGCATAAACACTGAGAAGGTAGGTTTGGGTAGAACACACTTAATTCAACATACGATAAACACAGGCGACCATCCACCAATAAAGCAGAGGTATTACCCTCTTTCACCTATGAGGCAAAAGGCCTTAGAACAGGAATTAGATAGGATGCTTAATCTTGGTGTAGTCTCTCCATCTCAGTTACCGTGGAATTCACCTGTGGTTATGGTACAAAAACCAAACGGCGACTTAAGGTTGTGTTTAGACAGTAGGAAGTTAAATTCAGTTACTAAGCCCGACGCATACCCGTTACCTTATATTAACAGTATTTTAGATCAGCTTAGAGAAGCAAAGTACTTGACGTCAATAGACTTGAGTGCTGCATATTGGCAATGCCCGTACGACAGTGAAAAGTCCGCTGAAAAAACTGCTTTTACTGTTCCCCGTCGTGGACTTTTTCAATTTAACGTAATGTGTTTCGGTTTAGTAGGCGCCAGCGCCACAATGCAGAGGTTAATGGACAAGCTATTCGGCCCAGAGTTTGATAATAAAGTTTTTGCCTTTCAAGATGACATTATATGTATTTCTTCCACTTTTTCGGACCATTTATTACTTTTAAAAGAGGTATTTAATCGCTTAAAATTAGCAAATTTAACTATAAACATGAATAAGTCAAAATTTTGTAGAAAAGAACTTAAATACTTAGGATACTTAGTAGACAGGAACGGACTTAGGACAGACCCAAGTAAGGTCGAAACAATATTAAATTATCCGATACCTAACTGTTCAAAGGATGTTAAGAGGTTCTTAGGTTTAGCTGGTTGGTATCGGAGATTCATTAAAGATTTTTCCAAAATAAGTAAACCGTTGTGTAAATTAACCTGTAAGAATATTAAATTCGAATGGACAGAAGAAACGAACTGCGCTTTAATGACCTTGAAATCTGCTTTAGTGTCAGCACCAATACTTAAATGTCCTGACTTTAACCTTCCCTTTTCAATTCATACTGATGCGTCGTCGTATGCAATAGGGGCAGTGTTAACTCAACGTTATAATGACACGGAACACCCCATAGCGTACTGCAGTCGTTCTTTAAATAAAAACGAAGTCAACGACAGCACCACTGAACGCGAACTGCTTGCCGTCATTTATGCTTTGGAACAGTTTAGGAACTATATTGAAGGTCAAAAGTGTAAAATAGTGACAGATCATGCTTCTTTGCTGTGGTTTTATAATCTTAAAAATCCATCAGGACGTCTGGCCAGATGGAGTATGCGTTTAAGTCAATTTGATTTTAAGTTTGAACATCGTAAAGGAAAAGAACATGTTATACCAGATGCATTGTCAAGAATAAAAGTAGATTTAATTTCGTTGCAAAATATACAAGATCCATGGTATAATCACATATTAAATGATATTAATTCAAATCCACAGAATTATCCTGGTTTCCTTATTAAAGATAACCAATTATATAGATATTCAAAAAATAAATATAACTTAACCTCTGAATTTAATTGGAAACAGGTAGTTCCTTTAGAAAACAGATTAGATTTGATTAAAAAATATCATGATAAGCCTACTAGTTCACATGCAGGCGTTATGAAAACTCATAAGAGACTTAGTTTACATTTTTACTGGCCGAAAATGTATTTAGACGTAGTGAAATATATAAAAAGTTGTGAAATATGTAAACAATACAAGCCTGTTAATACGGCGAGACCTGGTTTCATGGGAAATCCGAAAAATGTGACCAAGCCATTTGAAGCCATCTCTTGTGACTTATTAGGACCTTTACCTGTGTCTTCGAATAGGAATACTTACTTAATAGTTTGCTCAGATTATTTTAGTAAATACGTTATGTTGCATCCTATACGGATTGCAACAGGCACCTCTGTTGCAAAATTTATTGAAAAACAAGTATTTCTAGTTCATGGTGTTTGCAAATACATATACATAGATAATGGACCTCAATACATAAGTACACAATTTAGAAATTTACTGCAAAAATACAATGTACCGAATATTTATTACAATCCTCGTTACCATCCTCAGGTAAATCCCGCAGAGCGAGCGATACGTAATGTATTAACAGCTATATCGTGTTATGTAAAATCCGAACATAAGAAATGGGATGAGCATATTCCTGAAATTCAATGCGCCCTTAACATATCATTTAATGAAACGACGAAGTGCACCCCATATTTCTTAGTACATGGGAGGGAACTTGTATTAGATGGCTCCTTGCATGGATATAATGAAGATCCAATTCCTCAATCTCAGGTACAACTTGGTGACTCAAAAGAATATAGTAAACGTTTATCTGAACTTAAGAATATATTTAACAAGGTGCAGAAACATTTAAAAGTTGCTCACCAAAGAAACTCAAAATATTATAACTTAAGAAAAAGGCATGTAGACTTAAAAGTGGGTCAAATAGTGTATAAACGCACTTTTTATCTTTCGAATGCATCAAAGAAATTTACTTCAAAATTAGCTCCGAAATTTCTAAAATGCATTGTCATAGCTAAACGTTCATCTCTAGTGTACACTCTGTCTGACATGAACGGTAAAAAATTAGGTGACTTTCACATAAAGGATATATTGAAATACGATGATTGAGCTGGTATGAACAGGTGATAGTATGAATGGATTCAATTTTGTAAATTTTCCAAGGATTTTCTTTGGTTTTAAAAAATAATAATGTAAGATGATGATAAATAGATTGAATAATGAAAGGGTTCAACATATTCAGTAAATCTGTTGTATGATAGTTATTTAATTTAAATAAACATGACTTATCATCTTTGTTATGAGGAAGGAAATGAGCGTTGAATGTCTTAATAAATTGATAAAGTAACATAATATATTTACTTATCACTTAAATTAAAAATAACTTTTAAAACTTAAATATCCCCTTAATTAACTTAAAAAAAAAGGTGATGATGAAATTCACTGAAACACTCAGGCGTATTATATATAGGTACCTACTTAAGTGTTGATACTCAATGCGTTGCATTTTTTGTATACTCTTAATAACTGTCGTAGGACTTTCGTAAGAATGTGTGTGAGTACATTTACATGATTGTGACTCACATGACGCCAAGGTATACATTTATATATACATATATGCATATGGTAGTTTTTTTTTGTAAGATTTATTGATAAGTTTTGTTACAATATAATGCATAGTTGCGTTATAATCTGTAATACTAATTGTTTAGTTCAGATATTAAGAATTCCTATAGGTAGCTTATAATACTAAATAGAATAGAATTCATAGTAGAAGTAGGAATAGGATTTCGGTTAGGTTTTTAGATTAACACCCTAACTAAGTGTGTTTTATAATGTTTATTGACATTGATCCGGACAATGTTATATAAAGCAGTATTCTGTTGGTATTTATTAGTTTGATTTAATTAGGGTTGTTAGATTAGAAGATTGCATATGTTTATACGTAGGCGTCTCTTAAAATTTCTTCAGAGATGAAGAAATTTTTAATTGACGAAGGGAATTGTGTAACATGATTAATTGTGCTAAGCGCCATCTAGTGAAACTAATAAGAATTAGTACGCAAAGAAAAAGTATTGGTTCAATATGGCGTGCTTTCTCATAATAGTTTCAAACGTAAAGACGGTGACACAAATCGCCGTCAGGGGGCGTCTTGGTTAATGAGAGATTATGTAAAAAAGGTGGGGCGCTCTTTCTGCATTAGGCTACGAAGGGAACGACGTATTTTGAGCTCGCTTAAAAGAATTAAAGAAAGGAATAAATAGATGATGAAAGGTGGCTAAAAGTACATCAAGGAAGACGATGTGGTGGTAGATTTAAGATAAGTTAATAGAAAATCCCATAACTGGGTTCGTAGGCGTAGTGGTTAATTGTTAGTCTTCGTACTTAAATGTGATGAATCATTCCACATGAATTAATCAAGAATTAGTTGGCTTCATTTCCTACAACAAAATGGCGACGTCATGAGACCACGTTGTGGTGATGAAATATAACAAGGCTTGGTGAACAGTGTGGACTTCGGATCTTCAAATAAGAGGATAATAAGAAGCTGTCACCATCATAACTGTCTTCTCAGCTACCCATTTCAACAGATTTCATCAAGGAATGTAAATTTAGTTTGTCAACGTCGTACAATAAGGTAAAGAAGAATATGTATTTAGTTTAATAACATTGGAAATTAAATGTTAACGCCACCACTCTACGATTAAACCCAGTATATGGTAAAAGATAGTTGTTTCAATCATTTCACAGCATAAACTACACCCTGGTATAATTAAGTCTTTTGTTCTCTGATTTTGATAGTCGGTGAGTAGCATATCCACTTAAAAATATGTTACAAAATATATTGCAGTAACGACAGACAATTGCAAAAACAACATTGCGCGTGGTACGGCACGCACTTGGCGTTTTTTTTTATGTTTAACGTTACGGAGAAAATTCAACAGTAAATATGGATAATTAGTTAGTTAATGCGAAAGGTGGGATATTAAAAAAATGTGTGCGTGTACTAGTGTACACACGTAAGAAGTGAAACTTCTTTATGGCCTTATTTTTCGAAAAATGATCTACATGCAACTTTCCAGAAATTGGTTAAATAAAGTTAAATTAGATAAAGTTTAAACAAAAGGATTTTATTATCATAGACATGAATACAAATTACTGCCTATGAAACTGTTATGATTACACGGCTCAGTAATCTAAGGCACATGTTCCACCTCCGACGATGAACGATAAGCGAGTAGAAACTAGAAACGAATTGGCAGTCCTGAGTTAAAATGCACGCGCACGGCTTTTGACAGCCAAGCCAGCTTAACCGAGCGAGTATAGCTGAGCGAGTATCGCTGAGCTAGTATCGCTGAGCGAGTATATCTGAGCGAGTATCGCTGAGCGAGTACCGCTGAGCGAGTATCCCTGAGCGAGTATCGCTATGCGAGTTTGGCTGAGCGAGTCTTATCTTTAATAACTATTGTCACTCAGCTACAAACGAGTAGAGAGAGTTCTCGCCGGCGACAGTGTGATCATTCAGCTATCAACTATTAATATAAAAAAAGATGGCGCGTAACGGAAAAATGTGACGCGTAACCGAAAAATGTGACGGTAAATTTTTTTCCAACGCCGATAAAGAAGTTTCACTTCAAAAAGCATCATATCGTGATGCTTAATTATTTTGTTATTTTTTTGCTATAATAATTATAACACCCCAACAAATTATAAATAAATATAACCGTCAATTGATTTCAATGCAATTAATGTTGACTAGCGGCCGCCCAGCCCCTCTAGCATGACCAAGAAAACGGGATATGATAAAGCGATATATCGGCATTAACTGTCAGACTACACGAGTTTGACAGTAGTCTGACCGTTAATGTCGATATATCGCTTTAACATATCCCGTTTCGGTGGTCATGCTAGAGGGGCAGGACTTGGTGCGCGTTATCTTTAATTTATGAGAATCCCACAGTAACCTTACATTTTCCGGGATATAAAGTGCTATGTCTCAATCCAGGTTATAAACTATATCCGTACGGGTTTTTGAAGTTATACTTCTTTAGGCGCGTTATGAAAAAATGATGAGAGTGAAATTTTTAGATGCGCGCGCATCACTGTAACCCAAAAGTAACAGCATGAAGTTGGCCGCGGGCGCGTTATGAAAAAATCATGTGAGTGAAATTTCGAGATGCGCGCGCATCTCTGTAACACAATAGTAACACCATGAAGTTGGCCGCGGGCGCGTTATGAATGTTAGTGTCTATTAGTGGTTAATAATCCACCATTATTAGACATCTGTTCGAAAGGTACTTTGAACGATCCACAGAGCTCCATAAGATGATCGCGTTGTCAAAAACAATGTTGGCACGCTCGTCGCCTCTGATCATTGTTTTCATATTTATAATATTTATCCACATGTTTCTAGTTTCTATATAGACACAACGTGTTTTAGTTACTTACAAGTGCTAATTACATATGGACTAATAACTTAAATTCAGTAGTGATTTTAATTGAATATTTTGAATATTTATTTAATTTTTCAAATTAAAACTGAACTTAATTGACTGTGTTAACTATCCTTTTCCAGTCCTTTTATTATTTTATTGTAATTATTAATTATTTGCATCCAATTAAAAAATATTTTTAATGCTGCTAAAGAAGTATAACTTCTAACGCGCGTACATAAGTTACACGCATCCATTTTTTTTTTATTATTAAAATAGTTTTTATTTTCCACTTTTTATAAGCCAGCCCCTCTAGCATGACCACCGAAACGGGATATGATAAAGCGATATATCGGCATTAACTGTCAGACTACAGTGGAGTTTGACAGTTGAGACTCTATAAAAAGCTTTATCATATCCCGTTTCGATAGTCATGCTAGAGGGGCTGCCCTCCTAGCATGAGCACCGCGATATGATTTAAAGCTAATTTTTATCACGCTAAATTGTCAAATTACTATTACGAAGTCTGACAGTACAGTTTGTCTATAAAGTCGTGACATTAAATGATGGCGCCACTAGTATGCATGTAGCAACCGTATACAGTCTGACCAAAATGATTTTGATACTAGCAGTTCATTCAAGTAAAATAGGTAATTAATAAGACACACTATACAGTCGTATTTTGTTTCTGTTTTATATATAGTAGGTACCTATGCTTATAACAAGTTTAGCCAAGCATATTTAATTGAATCAGAATAAAATTATTATAGATAAAATAGTACTTTATAGTGTAAAAGTGTGTAATGTTGGTGATTACCGCTGTCTGGTCGTTGGAGTCGTCGTTTGCTAAGGTCGTAGAAGTCGGTGGAACGAAACTTGGCAGTCACGGCCGTCCTGTCTCGTAGTCCATTGTCCTCTTTTTTCCTGTCAATACTGTCATGATGTCCGTCTGTCATATGTAGGCTAGTCAGTCAGTCCAAGGAGGCCGGACGCCGCGACAACCGCTGAGGTGCCATTGAGACCAGAGTCGTTAGGTAATCATCAATACACACAAGATTCATCATACGACGTACACTTGTTAAGAAAATAATACTAAAAATCATTTTATTGTATATAAAAAGTTTATTTAGAGAAACAATTTGTAAATGTGCAGTTAGTAAAATTAGTGATAGGTATCTTCACTAAAAGCATCTGGCCATGGTTCTTTATGTGACCATTTCTTTCTTTGGTCGGCCTTGCCTGTTTTCCCAGGAGTTTCAAACTTTCCATCATTCTTAAAACCTTCGTTGACTATCCGACTCTCTGATTTTCCTGAAAAAAAGTAAAAAAATATGTAACGGAATAGAAACAATAATTTATAATTTAAACAAAAGCAAATAATTCAAAATTGGTAGAAAACCTGACCGAGTTGAACCATAAGAACGTATCAAGAGAAATGGTCGTACTACAATATTACTTATTTACAATGTCAACCTAACCTAAAAATATGCAATGTAAACAGTGTCTGTTTTGGTCTCAAAATCGTAAATTGAGTAAATTTGTAACTTCAGGTAGATTACAAACAAATAGTTACACGATTACATACCCGTCATAGATGCTGTTCGCCCATAAACATCATCCAAATCTCATAAAATTCGTCCAGCTTGGTAGTCTTCGAAACATCGCTGGAAAACTTTAAAAATCAATTACCACGTGCCACTCCGATTTACTTTACTCATTTTTATACCTTTCTGCGTAGTTTCGTCTTAATTTATTACAGTTTAATCCAAACAATAAAAAATACAAAAGGAAAACTGTTCCACAACTGAAACTCGATGACAGCTGATGTACATAAGTTTGGTGTTGCCAGACACATAATAATGTTAGTTCCTCAAACATTCATGTCACGACTTTATAGACAAACTGTAACACGCGCTAAAAAACATTATATATTGCAAATTGTGGTGCTCATGCTAGGGGGGCGGGTAACATCAGCTAGCTAAGTATAGGTTAGTAAGCTGGTCTGCTTTATCTTTTTAATATCTCATAAAATATCCAAACACGAATTGAATACTGTTTGTAACTGGAGACTTCCATTTTTTCTCCGATGCACTGATCGGATCTTGACCAAATTAATCCATCTCGCCAAAAAAATGATACATACATAAAAAGAATCATCAAATTTAAAAAATATAATATGATGAAGCGGGGTTCTTTTGCAATCGGTTAAAAAGTAACGTTAAATTAGTACCTATGTTAATTTATTTTTGATAAATAAACGAATTTATTTGAATTTTTTACATAAACCGCATTTGGGTATAAATATACCGATTTTTGTTGGCAGTGGCATTTCTCACAATGACGATCGAGACCAGTGGTGTGTGTTGCTGCGCCTAGACACATGAGTTTTAATTTTGTTTTCGAGGTCTCCCACTTACTATTCTCTCCGGTCTCTGGGTGTTCTCGGTTGTTCGGGGGAATTTATCATGCTGTACTTTTAATTCGTGTGCGTTACTCGATGAAGTTGTAAGCGATCTATTTCGACGGACAAAAAAGTCAGCGGACAAAAGTCCCTCGTCTGCACAGGCTTTTAAGAGAATTACATATCTTGTTTGGAAATTATATGAACTTATTTTATTAAAATTCTATTTACGCTGTGACTTGTTCATAAAATGTTTGTAACTGATCGCTTTGGTAATTTGAACTTTTACAAAAATATCCAGATTTAAATTCAAATCACAATTAGTCCCTAGGGATTTAAACGCTGTTTTAGTCTCTAGGGTTTAGAAAGTTATATTGGTCTCTGGGGATTAAAACGCTATTTTGGTCCCCTATCTATCTATCCCCTGTCCTATCTATTTGGTTTCTGTTTACAGAAACTGTAAACAGAAAATAGATGTGAAAAAATATTTACATACCACCCACTAATTGGGACCAATGCAGAATGGGCGCAATGCTGAATATGGGTTCAGTGCCAAGTGGACCCAGTGTGGAAGTGTCCCAGAGCGCAATACTGCCGTCCTCAAGCTAAAACGCGGCTAAATGACACAACCAACTTTTGAGATATGGCCAAATAACGGCTCGTAAACTTAAAATTATTGCTATTTTGTAACCATTCAGCACATGACAGATTTTAAGACAAACTATAAAAGATACGAATACTTGTTAAAGACAGATCGATAGAGTTATAAAAACTATATAAGATACAATTTAGGGCTGAAAAATCGACCACATGTCACTTAGCCGTACTTTAGTTTAAGGACGGCAGAATAGGCCAAGTGCGGGCGCATCCGGTCCATCGCTATCGCTACTGGTCCATCACTCACCAAACAAAATTTTGAACCAGGTCCACAACTACCGCCGCGCCGTCAGTGGTCTTTCACCTCACTGCACATATAGCTACCCGCACAGCACCCGCTGCCTAGCTAGGTTGTGATAGTAAATTTTCGCCTAACCCTCATTTGCCATATTGCAATGAAGAGCTAGATGGCGCAGGTGGATAGCGCTTTCCGCTGCGATCGTTGAAGTTAAGCAACTTTCGCAGTGGTCGATCATTGGATGGGTGACCAAAAATTTACTATCTCGAGTTCCTCCGTGCTTCGGAAGGCACGTTAAGCCGTTGGTCCCGGCTGCATCTGCAGTCGTTAGCACCCACCAATCCGCACTGGGCCCGCGTGGTGGGTCATGGCCCAATCTCCCTATTCCATCCATAGGGAAGGCCTGTGCCCCAGCAGTGGGGACATTAATAGGCTGATGATGATGATGAATGAAACTTTCGTTGTCTGATGTCTGAATATGTCTGAATCTAGCATTTGCAAAAAAATACTTTTAAAGTATGCTTTAATGTCAGTTGAGTAAAATTAAGTTAATAACGATTGTCCTTCTTAATACAAACAAAACAAAGAATAAAATCAGTTGGAGAGATTGTGATTGTGACTAATGGTTGACACAGTCCTATTCGAAGCCAGCCAGTCAGTTGATTGTAAAAACTTCTTTATTATTACTTACTACTGCAAGTGTAAATATATTTAAGGTATCTTTAAAATCAGATATTATTTAATTGAAACAGATGCAGAGGCGTCTTTACCTAAGGTGCAGGGTGTGCCTTGCACACGGGCGCACGGTTCTAGGGGGCGCCGAGCGCAGACGCCACTTGCTGAAGCCAGCATTGCCAGTTTTTTTTGGGTCGGGATTTAGGAACTTTTTGTGTGAAAAAAGCGGGATTCTTCCGTCGAAAGCGGGACATAGTAAGAAAACGACGGGTTGCGCTCCGGGAGTGCCGGCAAAAGTGAAAACATGAATATTAACGTTGTGCATTTTTGATATTTTGGAATGATTAGGGAATAATTTTGAACATTCGTAGCAATTCTGCTTTAATTATCAGTATAAAAGTACGATCATTTATGTGGTAGAATACAATAATTATTTATTGCGCTATCGTACACAAACATGACAATTTGTATTACATTAAAAAGTTTATCTCAATTATATATTATTATTTTTAATACAGTTGCTCAAAAAGTGGCGTATTGTAGGGACGTGTAGCGTTCGGGATCTGGGCTATTTCACACTCGTGCTTTTTTTTTGCCTTTCCCGAACTCGTGCGTTTTCTTTCCCAACTGTCAAAATTATTTCTATTAAAAAAAACAACCATGAAGTTTTAACTAAAAAAAATCATAGAAGTTTTTGCGATTCATGCAAATAGGTTTATTTGTTTTTAAAAAGAAGCTACCTATACTAATTTGTCGAATATCAGAATTAATTAATTGATTGAATGAGTTAGGTAAGGTTTCAGTTCATTTCATATCATTAAATTTCAATTTCATTTCTTATAATAAAAAATACTAAGTACTAAAGACTTGGCTGTATGGGCAGTTCCCTTTGCCTACCAGAATGGGTGAAAAAATACTGCTTACATTCTACGGTTGGCGCCATTTTCCGAAATATTCTTTGCGAGTTTAGTTGTTTTTTACACAAAATGAGTAATTTCGACCTAAATTTTTTTGAATTAACTCCACCTGAACTCAGTATAATTGCACAAAACGCTTCGGGGAACATTTTACCGGAAAAGTCAAAAATTCGCTACATATCTACATACGATGAATTTATTGCGTGGAAAGAAGAGAAAAAAGCAAATATTTTTTCAGAAAATGTTATGTTGGCATACTTTTCCGAACTCTCAGCAAAATTAAAACCTTCTACGTTATGGTCAAGGTTTTCGATGATAAAAAGTATGCTGAAAATAAGGAACAACGTGGATATAAGTCAATATCCAAAATTAAATTCTTTCTTAAAACGACAATCAGACGGGTTTACCAGTAAAAAGTAGAAAATATTAACATCGAATGACGTGGAAAGGTTTTTGAAAGAAGCTACCGATGATTGTTATTGTTCAGTTTACAAAATCGCAAAATACAGTCAATACATTATTTATATGAATCAAATCGTTTTTTTTAGGTTGCTCTGATTTTTGGCGTTGTTGGAGCTTGCCGCAGAGAGGAGTTAGCCAATATTACTTTAAAAGATATTGAAGCCCATGGAGAAATGCTACTTATCAAGATTCCAAACACAAAAAATAAGATACCGCGAAGCTTTGTTGTTGAAGGAAATTTTCTCACAATAGTGAAAAAATATATGAACCAGCGGTCCCAAAAAGGAAAATCCGACCGTTTTTTTCAAAATTTCCAAAAAGGGAAGTGTACAGCTCAAGTAATCGGCATAAACAAATTTGGTAATATGCCAAAAGAAATAGCTACGTTTCTTGGTCTGCCGGATGCTGAGTGTTATACTGGGCACAGCTTCAGAAGGACCTCTGCTACATTATTGGCAGATTCAGGAGCCAATTTGACGTCCTTAAAGCGACTAGGTGGTTGGAAATCGGACAAAGTTGCAGAAAGCTATATTGGTGATTCATTAAACAACAAACTAGAAACTGGGAAAAAGATCACACAATCCATTAATATAAGGTCCAGTCCGTCTCCTTCACATGCTGAAGAGAACGTTCGTCCATCTACGAGTACCTTCGTTGATAATGATAATTCATCAGATCCAATTCCATCAACTAGCAAACGCCATTGTATGACAAATATACATGAACAATCATACGAAATTAATAATAGTTTGTCTCAAACAGTAAATATGCAACGTAAAACTTCCCCAGTTAGTATAAAAAACTGTACCAATTTCAAAATATATGTGAATTATAACTTTTATAAGAAATAAATGATTAGTTAATTGAGTTTATTGTGTTTTTATAATTTGATTAAATTGCTTCATTTTTTCGCAACTGTATTAAAAATAGTCGTTCAGTACACGTACGGAACCGTCATTGCAACTCGTCCCGACTGTCATTTTTCGGACATTTGTCGGAACTCTTTACAATGACAACCATTCCGTACTAGTAATGAAATATATTATTTTCGTTTATCTTTTAGTTTAGTTTAAGTTTATCTCTCAGAAAAATCAACTTACATGAATCATATTTAAGCGCACCTAGCGACATCTATTGTAAAAAAATGCATTTTTTTTCACAATAAAGCTACCACCTGGACGTCCTAGATAGAAACTTATGATAATAATACGATAAAATAAAATATTACTATGTTTCGTCCAATATATGCAAGTCAACAACCTTTCCAATTTTATTGTTTTCGTCTTACGAATTTTCGATTAGGTCACGTGTATTGAAAATAACTAGGCGAACCGGGATTCCACGGACTATGGTTTTAAGAATTCTTAAGGAAGGTGAGTGGTAAGCCATAAAAAGTTGGTACTTACATAAGCTTTTAATTGTGTTGTAAAAATGGAAGGTTTGATTTAGTTTTTATGTAAGCATCGTCTAGATAGTAGTAAGCCTTTCTGTGATCTAGATGATTCTCTTTCTCTCAAACCCATTTTGTACAGACCGCGCTATAACCAATTAACCTGTGTTGGGTACTTAACAATGATTTTTGTTTGCAGAAGGGGACCATGCGTACCACATTCAGGTCCAAGAATCTGATTACCCAAAAAGAGTGGCTTTTTGTCAAACAATGTTGCAACGATCTGAAGAACGACGAACGAAAGAAGACGACCCTAAGTTTTGTAACAAAATACTGTGGATTTTTAGATTTGAAAGGAATTTAAACTAATGAAATTACATTTTATTCAAAAGACTGCTGATTTGGACGCAACCAAAAGTCAATGCTGACCGATTGTTATTTTTTTTTTGTAAAGTTGCCCACCCCCTCTCCCTTTGTTATTCTGCTGCACTTAACTTAATCCCAAATCTCAGCTTCCCCTGCTACGACTATATGGAATGAATATAGCTTGAATATAGTTTAAGGTATGTATTTTCTAAAATCATGTCAAATGTTTAAAGGTACTGTAGATTTCATTTCTGAATAATTTTTACTACAAGCATAACAGAGGTATTTGTTAACATGAGGAAACATGGAAAATTGTTGTTCTATAGGGCTCCCTATCCCAGAAGTGCTTTCTTGTTGAGCCATGGATACTATCTTTGAATAATTTGTTGCTTCTAATGCGGTAAGTTTACATTGATTCTTATTAATTCCACTCTGAAAAAATAAGACAAATGTTATTTATCTCTACTTTGAAGCAATATTTTTTTACACATTTTGAATAAAATCAATAGAAAATAAAATTAGGCGGGTTACCACTTATCCTTACTGAGCAGTTCTATGGTAGAATTATAAGAACTTTTTCCCAATTAGCCTAAGATTTAATGTTACAAAACAGTAGAACAAGTGGGACTATTTATTCTAAACACATTCTACATTGTGATTTATTTTCGAGAATAGTAGTACTAGTGAAACTAGTTCCCTGAAGTGCTTCTCTAAGAATTTCTTTACGAGAATTGTGAACACAGAATCCCACTAGTTTTGCTCTTCTGTAAGATATTCAATTTTAGAACTACACTTCTGGACACATCTATTGGCCCACCTTGTATTTTCAGTTTCGTTTGGTCCTAGCTAAAATTTTATATTAGGTCGAGCAAAAAGTTTTTATGCAGTTTTGAACCTGGCACATTCACAATTTCATTCAATAGTCTTTTTTTGGATTTCGAACACAGAATTTAAAGAAACAAAAGAAAATTTGGAGCCTGTTTGTTGATATCAAACAATCGAATACTAAGAAAACTTGGTTTTATTGGTTTACTTGGATTTAATTCTTGAAAAAGTGATTGATATCTTTGGTTTTGCAACAAACATTACTTATTCTTAACATTAAGGTGAGGTTCTATCAATAATCTATGGATACTTCACCTGAAGTCGCCGCCCAAGCTGTGGCACTTATTCAGGCCGGACACAGCCAAAGAAACGTGAGTGCTCAACTTAATTTAAGTCGATCTGCGGTCCGAAATGTTTATCGGAGGAACCTAGAGACTGGCGGATTTGTTCGTCGCCAAGGAAGGCCACGATCTCGGATCACAACTGAAAGGCAGGATCGATTTATCGTGACGGCCAGCTTGAGAAATCGTCACCTTACCTCCATTGAGATACAAAAACAAATTCGCGACTTCCACGGAGTATGTGTGAGCGCTCGAACTGTTCGGAAAAGGTTAAAAGAACGCGATATGGTACCACACAAGCCAGCTAATGGGCCCAAACTAACGCGAGTCCACCGAACAGCGCGCCTTCATTTAAATTGGACACAGCAAGATTGGAGCCGTGTACTCTTTTCTGATGAGTCTAAAATTGTGTTACATGGCAATGATGGAAGGAAGAAGGTCTACCGACGTAAGGGAGAGCATTTCGCACAATGCTGCTTTGAAGAGAGGGTTGCTTATGGTGGTGGCTCATGGACTGTCTGGGGCGGTATATCCGCTAGCGGCGAAACTGAACTTGAGGTTGTTACAGGACCACGGCTGCCAACATTAAATGCTGAAAGGTACATTCGTGAGTGCTTAGAACCTCACGTGATACCATACACGGACTATGTGGGCCCAAATTTCCTTTTTATGCATGATAATGCAAGAGCCCATGCGGCCGGCATCGTCAGGGAATAACTTCGGGATGTGAACATCACAGTTATGGACTGGCCAGCCAGAAACCCAGACATGAACCCCATTGAGCACATGTGGGACGAGCTAAAAAGACGTGTTAGGGCTCGTCAGCCAGTTGCCCAGACGATGCAGGAGTTGAAAACTGCCATAGAAGAGGAATCGGAGATGATCACTCAAAATTTCATAGAGCGGTTGATAAACTCTATGCCAAATCGTATGAGAGCTGTGGTAGATGCCCATGGAGGCAACACGCGTTATTAAATTAAGCCTTTATTTGATAAAACATGTTTTTTATTCAAAAATCAATTGCCTTTAACAAGGCGCATATCCGACTTGTTAGGCGTAGCTCCATGTCGTATGGTATTCTGAATTCAAATTTAAAACAATACGATCTAAAAAGATGGTAAAATGTATCAGGTTTAAAACTGCATCAACAGTTTTTGTTCAATCTAGCAATCATATTTCGGTAGGGGCCATCGAAACCTAAACTCTAAGGTGGGCCAATAGATGTGTCCAGAAGTGTATTATGGTGCATATGGGTTAGCCTGAGGCTGCCTCTAATCCGTATGCACCTTAAGGATAAAAGTTCTCATTAGTTCTACCATACAATTGCTTAGTTCGCCTGTTCGCGTCCATCGCCCAATTCGCGTCCATTTTACGGTCTCCCTTAAAAAATACTCAAAAATAAGTAATCTAACACACCAATCAAACGAAAAGTAATTACCGCTAATACCTTAATATATAAGAGGCACGAACACATGGTCAAAAGGTACGTGCACCAAACAATCCCGTTTAAAAAAAAATAGTCTCGGTTATTCATCAATGGAGTGCGTACACGTGGGATGTTTAGATAAAAACTAGTGTGCAGCGGCGCGTTCGATGGTAAGTTTTTTATTTTTTTATGTTAATTTTAGGATACATAGCTGTTTCTAGACTTTTATAGTGAAGAAAGGAATAATATTAATTATAAATTTTGTGATGTTTTTTATATTTAATGAATAAAATAAGGTGGACGCGAATTACTACATCGATATTACAAAACTTCCAATTTGCGTCCGCAATGGACGCAAACTATACCTACAGGGGATAATAATAAACCAAATTGCGTCCACTATTTTCGTTAAATACAATTAATTAATTATAATTTAAAATATAGGTATTGATTATTAGTATTATACATTTTTATTAAGACTACGTGTTTTTAATGCTATTTTTAAATGAAATAAGTTATTTCAATTAATCAATCAAATACTTTATTTGTTTCATTCTTATTTTTTTCTATTTGAGATGAGTTCTTCGGAGACAAGAAAATAGAAGGAAAAGAGAATATACACAGAAGACATATTAAAGAAAACGTTAACTGAAATTCCAGAAAAGAATAAATCGGTAAGACACATAGACATATTGTACAAAATCAGTGGGCGCAGACCAAAAGAAGTAAAGAAACCGGGACCAGACACCACCTGGTGCTACCTGAAATTTCTAACAAAGCACGAAAAGATAATCAAAGAACTCTAGCAACCATATCTTCTGATGCATGGAGTAAGTATTAAGAAGATAAAGAGCAGATTAAGACACACAGGAAATGGTAAATCAGGAATTTAAGAAAGAAAATTTTCTGAATGTGACGATATACTAATTTCAGATGTAGAAGACGACGATGAGAAAAACATACCTTGTGATTCTAGGGTAAAATTAACAGAACTGATTACTGTTTATTCATAAAGATGTAATCATTATTTACCTACTACTTATATAATTTTAAATTCAATCAATGTTGAGAAGAATATTTTTTATTTAAAGTGATAATTTTAATGATAATAATGTCGGTTTTAATATTTATATTCTAAAATAAAGAAATTGTTAAAATAGGTGCGATCTTTCTATACAAATTCTTGAAAATATCACCCCTATATTCCTTTTCTAAGGTGGTGGACGCAATTTGGATTTTGTGGACGCAAAGTGGGTAAAACGCCTTATTCCGAAGTTTATCTATTTAAATAAAAAACAATAGATGTTTCGAACAAAACTGAAAGTTAATCTTAAAATAGACTATATAATGAACACATTACAAAATTTTTGTCATAGAAATTAGTGCTGGGATATTTTTATTATCGCCGTCAAACTTTCCAACTGCACTAAATGGACGCGAACAGGCGAACTGACCCTAGGACAAGTGAGAACAAACATAATATTTAAAGTAGTAAGTAAGCATATTTATATATCTACCAACATACCTCACATATCAAACACTTTATTTTATGTTTATTTTCATTTTGGATACCAATTTTCTCAGCAGTTTTACATATAGTTGAAATGGTTGATTGGAAATTTTGTTGCAAATCATTTACGAATAATTTTGCAACTGACTGTAAGCTGTATTCTTGAGCATGTCGTACATTTAGTGGTGTTAACTGACTGATAGTTATGTAATGCTGAATCTCTTCAAGAGTAATGTCTTTTATTGGTCTCAATATCTTCACTTCATTTCTATTGTCACAAAATCCCTGAAACAATGTTCTTAAATATAAATATGTACCACCTATCTGCTTAGAGCCCTAGGGACAGCCATTGCACCCATAACCAAACTCAAGGAATCAATTACTTTTGCCAGTAAAGTGAAATTAAGCTATTAAGAAACTCATAACAATGGTCTAGCAAAATAACTATCACCTATTAAGTGGTGCATCTGTGAGACAACAAGCAGCTTTGGCCTTTTCTAATGAATATCAACCAAATAAGTATGACAACATGCAGTATGTCTTGACAACAGCCATCCATTAAACCTTTTAAGTGCTGCTGTCGAACCAGTCCGACAATAAAATGTCTCTCTCAACGCCGGCTACCAGTACGACAAGACTAGTAATAAATTTAAACCTTATAATTGAAACAAATAATATCAGAATGGTTTGTGTCGTATGTCAAATGAATGAGACAGAACCAACCTATTCATTCAAAGATTTACAGTCTACAAGAACAATACTCATTCATGTGACCACCATTTAAAAATATTCGCGCTCCTCCTCTCCTGTGCTGTTGACGTATGAGTACTTTTCAGTGTGTTTTGTTTGTAAAATCCTACAAAGAAGTTAAAAAATGTGTAAGTTATCAATTCTTTATGCATTTTTTTTTATAGTTAAAAAAAACCGTGCTCTAATCCATGCTTTAGTTTTTGAATAAATCGAAGACAAACAAAAACAACCTATAATTTTTCCTACTATCCATTTTTCATGTTTTTTTTTTCTATTTTATTACTTTATTATTTTATCCTAGTTTTAATTCAAACTTACAGCAAATTTACAAAAGAAGTTAGATTTTACAAAACATTTGTACTTAGAAAGATACTTTCACAATAAAATTCAAATATTGTAGGCAATATTTGAATTTATGTTTGTTCTGATTTGAAGATAATTATTTATTGAGATTTTATGTTCAACTATGAACGTATTTAGGTACCTATATTTTTTAGCATATGTTAGGTGATTAGATTTGTCCAGTAGTGATGCTGTAGCATCGATAGGTGTATGTAATCGATTATAAATACAGTCGAACCTGAGTAAGCGAGAATCCAAGGGACCCGAATGTTATTCTCGCTAATTAGAGGTTTCTCACTAAAGCAGTTTGTCACTTACGAAGGTTTGAGTGTAGTTACTCTAGAGGTTAACAAAAGTCGAGAAACATGGTGCTAGAGCGTTAAAAAATACATACATAATAAGTACACATTTTGTTTTTAGATACATATTTTATTTATTCGAAGAAATCAGTTAATTTTTTCTGAGTGAAAAACAGATTCTATAATATAATTGTAAGAACGACTTCTTACAATTATATTATAGAATCTGTTTTTCAATTTCATAAAGTTTATCAAAAATTGAATAATCAATTTTATAAATTCTTTTTTTTATATAAAAGGTAGATTCCGGCAAGTTAAAATCACTCATAATTGCGTTTCTCGGCTTGGTTTTCAATTTTAAGTTTATCATTCAACAAAATCACTTTAATTTTTCGTTTTAACATTTTGAGGGAACAACGTCAAACGCACATGTGCGCTGCAGCCATTGTCGTTTTTCGATGGAATTACAAACAATTCCATCGAAAACAATGACACTTTGGCTTTCTTTGTTTACAAAAGAGAATATGGTTTGGCTTGAACTTTGAGTTGCGAGTTTTGAGATGTGTTTTGACACTAGAAGAAAATTTAATATAATAAGTGCGTAAACATTAATTATAAATAAATTATTATTTTGTAAACCTCAGTTTTATTTTTAAACTTCACTAATCTTACTTTTGTATACGCTCTTGTACGTACACAGCGGAAGGTCGACTTTAGACGTAAAACTTGAGTAATAAGTAGCCACTTAGAGAATTTTTATTCATTGATTTTGTTTGATAAAACATAATGAAACGCATATCAATAGAATGCTTATTTATAAAAGTTTTTTTGAACTGTAAATAAAAAGGCATTGTATTTATATTTACTATTTGCGTGAGTTTGATGTCTGATCTTGAAAACTTGGTAATTACTGTTATATTATTTGCTAATACGATACAGTTTGGTCGTGATATTCAATATATGTGAATTACTGATATTTCAAACAAAAATTTGCTGAGTTATACCTTATAATTATGACACAGGATAATTTCGAAAACCGGGATAAAACCGGGATCAACCCGCGCGAATTGCTTCCGTGGCGAAATTTTAGCGTTATTTCAAACTCCAAAAAGTTGTAGTTTTATATTTACAATATTTATAGAAAATACCAATTTGTTTAGGGAATTTTATGTTTAATCTAATAAAAATATGTTTTTTAGTGAAAATGACATTTGGTAGCTAATATATTCCATCTTTACTACAAAGTAGTTAATTTTTCAATTCTTCTAAGAACAACCTCATGTTTCCGCTCCAAATATAAACAAAACGTGTTTATTTTGTGTTAGTGAGCTAGTTTATTTCATTATCTTTCTGATAATATAAGCATTGCCGAGCTTTGTTAAGTCTAAGTCCTAAAAAATACGATAAGATCGAGTCTTGTGTCAAATGGCGCGCTCAAATCTTAAGTGCGCCGGCCTCTATGGTATCGAATGCACAAGGCCGCTCGGGCCCTCATAGGTTAAATAGTACATTTCATTTTAGAATTCTTAACAACGCAAGACTTTTACCCACTAATTAATACTCACAAAAAGATATCATACAGGTATCAACTAAAATAGGTGCTTCAGACTACACATAAGTATACTATTGCACTATATAATACAGCAAGCTCATACAATGTAGTATAGTGTGGTGTGAAGTTGTTTTATGTAAATGTATGGTGGGCAATCCCATGCTGAGCTATATTGTCTGCACACACCTTAGTATTTTTTTAACATTATTTATAAGTAAACATAAAGAACAATGATCTCCAATAAGTCAGTCCTATATTGATAATATAAAAAAACCTTAAAAGTTAAGGATATAAATTACCCTTCCATGCTCAGTACAGCCTGGTAAAAACAGACAAGTTAACAATTTCTTTACTTACAATATCATGTTGCACTTGAGAACCACGTCCTAAGCTTAAGTTGGAAATTAACTTAATAGCAAGTGTAGTTGAAGTTTCTGCAGTGAAAATACTATTACACTGTAACTCCTTTGCATAGCAGATAAATAGTTCTCTCTTAATTTTAGCTAAATAGTCATTACGGGTTGAACTTGACATATCACTTAATTTTTTTTTCATTTCTACATGTGCTTCTTCATTTCTCTCCGGTATATGATTTAATTTAGGTTTACTTTTTATTTTTATCATATATTCTGAAATATGACAAAGATTAATGTCATAATTTTGATTCATACATTGTTCAATTAACAATTTTGTAAATGACTTATTCTCTTCAGTGCCTGAAAAATAAAATTGATGTAATAATAAAGAAAGATTGGGTAAGAATAAAATTTGAAGAACAATTTTATTAGGAAAAGTTTCTGTAATCTTACCAATCAAATGAAAAAATACAGGTGTGATCAACAATTTTTTATGATTATTTAAAGCCAGTCCGTTAAGAACTAAATTTAATAGAATTGTAGAACCTAGGCCTCCATTTAGGCAAATTAATACGTTTTCGTTTTGAGTTAAAATTCTATTTTTTCCAATACAAGCACGAAACTTATGACTAACATTGGTTAAAAAGCAGTCGTTGCAGTAAAGGTCTCTTAATCTTAAAAGTATTGTTCCTGGAACTAATTTACACTTCTGACAAAAACTCATTCTTTTTTATTTGTCTTGGCTTTTTTTTTAAATAATATTAAAAAATTTATTCGCGTCGTCTCGCTTTATTTTTTTTTTTGTCAATTTGTCCCTGTTGGTATGGGCAAAGGATTGTGAGTCCATACAGCCCTGTCTGTTAACTTTTCTTTTTTAAAATGTTTGGATTGTAGCTTTTACAAATTTGTATAAAGGAATGTAGGTGTCTTTATTTTGTAAAAGTTTTCTCAAGTCGCGGCTTTTGTTTTTTTTTGGATTCTACCTAGTGATGACGATACGCGTAAATACAAGTAACTACTCGATACTTTTCTTTCGATACCAACTACTTTTAGCATCGATACTTTAGGACTGAGTAACAAGTAGTATCGTGAAGTAAATATGTACTTGTATCGCTACTCGGTCGATCACCATATAGGTATAAGAATAGAGTGGGGAAGGCGGCACTAAAAGTAACCGTCTAGTAGAAAGAGAAAGAAGATGAGAGCCGGCTAGCCTTTCTCTCTCTAATCGTGAATAGGCATTGGATGAAAAACCTCCGGATGCATACCGACCAATCACACGACTGCACAGCGTCACAAGAGAGAGAGATAACTAGCCGTCCCTCATCTTCTTTAGATAGATAGATAAAACTTTATTCGCACCAACATGCACACATACAAAATTGAAGACAAATTATACAATTATAAAAATCCTTTAAAACATAGAACAAATTATATTTATACAACTATACTATGATATTTTCGTGTGCAGCAGCGATGCGAATGGGCGAAAACACAGCGTAACATTTACTTAGAGAGTAAATCGCTGATTTTCAGTTCTGACCCATATAGACGAGGTCACGCAATTAAATGTCAGATTAAAATTCAAAATAAAATAAACGACATTAAAATTAAATTAAATACAAAAATTAATTAAACATTCATTGGACATATAATTGTTATGGTACATTTACATAAACATAAAAAACAAAGAAAAAAAATTTGATAAATTGATCAGTGAGAAAATATTTATAATTTTTATTTTTTAAGCATGTAACTGCTTGATGTTTAAATCTAAAGAAAATAGTTTCGGTGAAAATAAAATTAAAGCACACAACACCAACGCCGACAACTCCGCACCCAAGCAACTAATTTCTGGATATTCCAATTTTCTGTTGTTCTAATAAAGATGATTTCATATGTGTTTTTCTTTCTCTTTCTACTAGACGGATACTTGCACTAGTAGTAGAGTACATATCTTACCTGCTCTATTCTTATACCTCTATGTCGGTCACTCACTGAGCAGTAATAAAAAAACAAATATAATGCGATTCAAATAAGAACAGGAAAGCCAATGACCTCCATCTGTCAAATGTCGCTTGAAAAGTACGGTTTGCAAAAAAATCTCGGAACACTTTTTTAGCACTCTGCTGATTCTATAATTCTAATTCTTTATAGAATAAAAACCAAACATTTTAAAACAAACAATAACAAATGTTGATAATTAATATTAGTTGATTTTTTTTCATTTATTGAGCTTTGGCTATGAAGGTTGATAAACCTGAATCGTCAACCAAATGTCACTTTATGTTGCGTTCAGAAACTTGATTTAAAACTTTCGTTTAAATATAGGATGCATGTTCGTATGTGACCTGCATGATTATTCATAACTTCTTCGGCGGTAATGCAGAGATGAGCCAAATTGAAGAGCTAGATTCTGATTAATATTTTTTTTCACAGTCTTAATAAAGAAATACTATTAAAAATCGGTTGTGTTCTTTCTCAACCTTAGTAAATTAATTTTTATTAAAAAAATCAGATGTTTTGTCTCACTTAATGTTACTAAATAAGTTAATCGCGTGGCGTGAGCCGTTATTTTGTTTTCGTTAAATTTAAACTGTGATGTGACTGAATTTGTAATTGTATTATCGTTCGTCAAAATTTGTCAATCCAAGTATCGATGCTTTTCATGTGATACCAAGTAGGCATCTATACTTAATGACTGATACAGTATCGAGTAAAAGTATCGATATCTAAATGGTATCGTTGCATCCCTAATTCCACCTTTTCAGGGAAAACAAAGGGAACAACGCCCATACATTATCATTTAAAAATAAAAAATTGTAGTTGACATTGAAAAAAACGTATTTAAGCCAAAGACAATGAAATCTAATATCATAACAAAAAGACACGTGAGACCATGCAAGAGATTAATAGGAAATATGAGATTATAACAGTATGCTGGTTAAAAAAGTTTCGTGATTATTTGTTAGGGCAAGATTTTAAGATAGTGACTGATTGCAGTGCATTGCGTAGTACTTTTGTGAAGAGTGATATATTACCAATAGTAGCTCGCTGGTGGCTACTCTTATAGGAATTCCAATGGAGGATAGAATATAGGGCAGGATCTAAAATGTCACACGTTGATGCACTTTCGCTTAATCCAATCCAATCCCGGATAGAGATGCCGTTGAGAAATTAGATCAATATTCAGTCAAAAATTTCAATCTTTACATATGCCCTGACACCGAAAATCTGTGGCCATATTTTGCAATGACGTTATGATGATAGCGGTTTTGACACATTACAATAGTGAAGTGAAAGTCAATTTTTTATCGAAAAAATAAAGTAATGCCAATAAATGCGAGTCTCATCTACGAGTAGATATTTTCTTTTTGGTATTTTAACCAACATTGCAAACAGTAGCTGATCAAAAGGATTGAATGAAATGAATAATATTAATGTCTACATAAGCTCAGCAATCCTATGTGCGGCGATCGTTTTGACTTATTTTTACACCTTAAGAAAAATCGACCCAAAAAGAAGTTATACTTTTTGTAAGCTGTCTTATCATCAAACTTAAAAAAATAACGAAAAAAATCTAACTCGAAAACTACGCAAAATCGTAGAACATACATGGGGGTTAAATTGATAGGTATGGTAATCCGCTATCAGCTCGCTTTGGCTTGACACCCTAGAAGAAACATCCTGTATATTCATATGCATGTAGTAAAAAGCAGTTATTTCTATAGTACCAACAGACACTCTAATTTCATTTATATGTATAGATATAGATTCATAAATATGTATTGCGTGAAAGATGGGAACAACAACAAATGTGGAAGTATAGCCAGGGCCAGTTTTAGCACTACCAACGACCAGCAGGCCAATTATGCTCGCTATTTGTGATATTGTTTTGATGTCTATTTCACATTACGTATTATGCTCTCCGAAAAATGCGATATCAAAATGACATCAACTTATGCTATGATGATGATCAACTCTATAAAATGATATCAACTTAAATGCGTATTACGTTCAACTTTTTGACTTAAAATAGTATCGCTTAAACGTCAAAAATGTGATATAGGATATGATATTGATATGATCTTGATGTGACATAGGAATGTTTCATAATACCATCTAAAAACAATGTCAACTTGGCATCAACATCATATTGACATCACATTAGAATTTTATTACTGAAGCATAATTCCGCTCAATAATAAAGCTCGACCCGCTGGGCGAGATTTCTGCAGCGCCCCCTAACTGTAATGCAAACCCATACGAAAAAAGCGAAAGGATATAATGAAAATACCTACTAATAAAATTTTACCTTTCTAACCTTTCTATAGGCGAAATCTTTTTTTAAAGTTATCAAAGTCGATATTTTCTGCAATTTAATTTTTATTGACAAAGTGGCCAAGTTTCTCAATTTGGATTGAGATAAATCCGTGGATGTTTTTCAGAACAAGTACCTTAGTGTAAAAAATAAATAGGTACTGAGTTTATATATGGTAAGGTCGGGAAAATCGTTTAAGATGAATAAAGACAATATTATATAATTTTCAAATATCGCGATTTATAGATAAGTAATCTTTTTGAACTATGGCAACTTATGAATCAGTAAATAAACATAAAATGACAGAATACTCAGTAAAATTGTGGTATACTTACTGAAAAAATCAGGCAAAGTATAACTGATATTCTTTTGAGAAGGTCGCCCTTTCAGCGGCCCCTTATATCCAACGCCTTGGGGGCTAATCGCCTAACGGGATTACTATCGTTATCGCCATCGCTTACGATTTCATTTTGTTATTTCTGACCACCGAAGGTTTTCAAATACTTCACGCTCATTTTCTATAATATTGTTATTACCAATGCAAAAGAAAAATTAAGAGCGCGAGGCATTTGAAAACCCTAGGCGGTCAGAAATAACAAAATGAAATCGTAAGCGATAGCGGTAGCCATAGCAATGCTGATAGGCAATTAGCCCTCTGGGCTGTCGCCCTAGCGCGCACCCCCCTGACACCGCTACTGAATACAGCAAACTAACCAAAGGTAAATTTTATGCTGCAATTCAGGTTCACGTTCCTTCTAAACTTTGGTTTTTCTACATGAAATTTGGTAAGACGAAGACGTCCATGATAAATAGAATGAGACTGGGTCATACATACGTCTGTGCCTTCCCATCTTGCCAAACTCAATATAATAAATAATCCTAGGTGTGATTGCGAGTTAATTCTCTGACCGCTCCCTCCCGCTGCAGTAGGACAGCCGCTGCCCGGCATGGCGTTAGCTATGCCGGTCACCAATGGATTCCGTGACGTCGGCCCTCTTTTGTAGTTCTGTCCTATATGAGAGGGCCGCGGAAGGGCCTGCGAGGGAAACGCCTAGGCAGCCCTTCAGTTTTATAGTAAATTTTACGGAGAATCCAAATATATATAGTTTGTATAGGGTATTCATACAAAATAACAGATATCGGCGAAACAATGCAATCGTTCCCACCCAGCGGGAGGCCCCTTAAAGGAGTCCAACATTTGACGGTGCGAACGGCGCATGACCTTAGGGACGTGAGAGGCTATCTGTGTATAAATGTATTTTAACTTTCCTTTTGCACAATAATATAAAACTTTAAATGTACCTAAATATGTAGTTTTTTACAACCCTGATACTTTCAAAATTTCATTATATTTCCGATCCCTTTTTTCCTATACTGTTTCCTTAATTTTTTACTTGACATTGGCTTAACGCACAACCGTGCATGCCATAAAAAAAGAAAAAAAGCTTTTCGAGAAGAACTTTTTTTTTTTTTTTGTTTTTTTCGGCGGGAAC